GGGGGCTGACCCATAGGGAGGCTTGGGGCCTGGCTCATGAGAAGGTCTGGAGGTTGATGTATATTGCGAGAAAACATGACGGGGGCTGGTTTCCTGGGTAGGGGCAGCTGAGGACTCCAGAGGAATTATTCTTTACTCAGGACAGAATCAGGCCCTTGCATATGGACTCTAAGTCCCGCTACGAAGGCTGCAGACAGCATTTGGGTATGGGCCTTATTATACAAACTGAAACCCAGATCGGAGAAGGTTTAGGACAACCTGGAGTGATATTTCTCCACAGATTCTGTCTTATCTTGGGTGACATCATTAATTCAAGTAGCCTGATCAGCTAATTTATCTTGGGCCCACATTCGGAGTTGTTCACAGAATTCAGTGAGGGGAAATCGGTATCACTAGTTAGTCGGGCACTAGAAAGACTTTTCTCCATAATGGGCCAATAAGCATCTCCTGCTTTCATTTCACAGAGGCTAAATAAGTCTTGCCATGCAGCGGAATAGGTTTTTTGGATTTGAACAAACCTTTGGGAAAAGGGCATGCGTTGTTTTTCTGGGTCTGGGAGAGAGCCCACCAGAATTGCGGCTTGGGATGGGTTAAATGAGACATACATCAAGGGGGCCCCCTCCGTAAGGAACTGGGCTCTGAGATTCTCTACATGGGACTAGGCTTCTGCTGTGTTTACTAGGTTATTGTCCTGCAATAATCCATTTTTCTCTTTTAACAGCTTACGCAAGCCCTCTGGAAGACATAGTAATGCCACATAGCTTAGCAATCTTCTTCACCTTCCCTACTGCCTCTTTGAATAAATACTGAATACAGGTATACAAAGTAAACAGACATTTTACCTACATTAATTTCTATCCATAACAATTCTTTACCCCAAAGTGCATCACATAGGTGACACTGGTAAGTTCTAAGGATTTTAATGTGGACAAACTAGCATTGCAGCAAGGTCACACCAAAAATGCTATTTATTAATGTACTTTGGTGTAACATCAAATAGCAACATTTCTCACCTCAGCAAACTCTGGCCAAATGAAACCATAGAAACTGCAACACTATTTGCTGTCTACTAAATGACACCAAGGTTTTACAGCATAAAAACAGATTTTTTTATGTTGCATTAAAGGGACACTGTAGGCACCCAGACTACTTCAGCTCATTGAAGTTGTCTGGGTGCTGTGACCCTTTTGCATGCTCTAAGTCTGCCTTCTGTGACAGTCTACCAGACAGCCACTAGAGGGCTTCCGGAATCCAAACTGACTTTTGGTCTGTTATCCGACGCTGGACGTCCTTATGCTCTGCGTGGGGACCTCCAGCGTCAGATTTTTCCCATAGGATAGTATTAAATAATGCTTTCCTATAGGGAGATGTAATGCGCACGCGGCCCTTGCCGCGCATGCACATTAGGTATCCCCGGCCGGCTGACGTCAGCAGAGGAGGAGCCTGGGCGGAGCCTGACCCAGTGACGAGGGACATCGGCGCTGGATTCAGGTAAGTGGCTGAAGGGGTTCTAACCCCTTCAGCCCCGTGGGAGGGAGGTACTGTTCTTCTGGCACTATAGGATCACTTGAATACTATGCCCAGAAATGGTCAGGCATATCCTCTCACCAGGCAACTGGTAGAAGTCCAGTGAACTCTTTCAGTGCCACGACAGAGAGCATTGTAATGCACGGCTTTCCTTGGAGGAACTAAAAATGAATCTAAACGGTTTAATAAATGTTGGGGTCTGACAGATTCCAGAATGCAATTCAAGAAAATGGATTGGCTCTTACAAATAGAAAGAAAGAAGCCGAAGTCAGGTCACTGGACTTCTAGGGGTAGGCAAACTTCAGCACTTCAGATGTTGTGGACTACATCCCCCATAATGCTCTTACAGCCATGATACTGGCAAAGCATCATGGGAGATTCAGTCCAAACCATCTGGAGTGCCAAAAGGCATCACTAATCTCTGCTGGTAGCAGGCTGAGAATTAAGACAGACAGACCATGGTCAAGAACGAAGAAGTCAAAATATATTTTAGAATCACGAAAGCAAATACACTCCTGCTCTAGACCGTAAAATACAACGTAATGTTAATAGGTGGTTGTAGGAGGTCATAATGTTTTGAGAAGCCTTGTACCAAGTCTTTAAGGGGTTATGCAGCAAAGTCTGAATACGAAGTTAGTTTAAAATGAATTTCATATTTTGGCCTCAATAGCATGTTTGGAAAGTCATCTATGTTTGAAACTTTTTAAATCTTGTTCATTTGTAATTTTAAAAAAAAAGTAATGCGTTATTCCACTCTTGCACACATGAGGGCGATGTTCTCTAAGATATAACCACACTCAGTCAGTCAATGGATTCTCAATGAATATTTTATTATGAATAGAACATCCAACATTAATGCAAGTAAAAAGTGAATTAAAAATGCAAATACAAATGTTTAAAAATAGACTGATAAAAAAAATAAAAAAAAAGGCAATACAAAGCTTTTTGTAACATGTACTGTTATTTGTAAACCATTTCCAATTCCACTGGAAAATAATAGAAAATACAAAAAAAAATTAACAAGAGAGGACTTTTATCAAAAGTGTTCGGTTCTAAAAAGTAGTGCAAAAAAATGTAAATGGGGAGGAGTTATCAGCAGAACGTGCCTGCTGGTTCCATTGGTTTCCATAGCGATTGTCCCAATTTTATACGGTTATTTACTAAAAAAGTGAGAAATTGACGTGAATTTCAAATTTAAGGCCAGAGTAGGCGATCTGAGGGCAGAGCAGAGTTAGAGAATCTTTCCAGTTCAGCTATTCTGAACTTAAATTTGAAATTCACTTTAAATTCACCTTGAAATGTCACTATTGTGAATAACCCTGTAAATATTTCAGGCCACTTTTTAGAACAGGACCCTTCAAATCTCAAGCTATCTTTAAAAGGGACACTCCCGCATCAACACAACTTTAATGCATTTGTTTTTAACATCATCATAAAGGAACAGCCTAATCACCATAACCACTGCATGCTGTTGAGGGTGCCATCACCGAGTCCTGGATCAAACTGGTTCTGAGCCGTTTGACCAAAACCAGGGGTTCCCCGGGCACATTTTTTTGGCCCCTTGCTTGTCATAGTTTACAAGTTAATTTCCTCATAAAGCAATATCAGTTTCATCCATTTTGGACTACAATGATAGTCTGCATATAGTAGCAACTAACACTTCGGCTACAGGTTCAAATGCCAGCAGGGTTGACTCAGCCCTTTCCAAGGTAGATAAAATTAGTCCCATTAAATTGGGTAATAGTAACAAACCCATGGATGTTGGGCTAAGGTAACATTCCCAGGACATCCTTGAGAACCCGAGTAATCTGAATGTGCCTTTCCTGGTTAAATACTTTAATGGCGAACAATAGGCATGCAGTGGTTATAGTGCATAGCCTATCCCTTTATATTTAAGGGGATGTTACCTTAGCCCAACATCCAGGGGTTGTTAACTATTAACCAGTTTAACAGTATTTGTTTTATCTACCTTGGAAGGATGAATCAACCATGCAGGGATTTGAACCTGCAACCCAAGTGTTAAAAGCATTTAGTCGGAGTTTAGATTACAATATTTGTAATTATATAATTCAGCAACTTGTTTTTATGCTTTGGGCAGAAAATGTTTTGAACATAAAATATTTAAAAAGCCACTGCTTTGGGATATAATCCCACTCTCCCCGCCTCCTCATTGCACAGTGCCCATGTGACTCAATCCTAGACAACATGCCTATTTTTCCCATTTTTGGTTTTTAAATAGCAAAAATAATGTATCAAACACATATTAAAAAGAGTATTTTATTGAATAAAAGGTAAGATTTTTAAATTGATATCTATTTGCACCATTCACAGACTATAACTTGAACGCTAAAGCATTAAAAAAACAAACCTGTATGTACTAACCAGTTGTACTAACCTTTTTCTAGTGACAAGGCTCCCTCGGCGCTGCTGGCCTCTCTGCTTCCCACGACATCATGGACGAGGCGTGACCTCCTCCACAATAGTCCAATCCAATGCTCCTCATAGTGGAAGATTGTGAACTTGATGTGCACGTGTAGTGAGCACCCTGTGTGTATCCAAACGTTCCCATGGGAAGGCATTGATCAATCCTTTTCTATTGGGGCTTCCGAATCGAGCGCCAGATTTTTACTCAGTCAGTGCTGCAAAAGAGCGTCTACTGGCCATCAGTAGGGCAGCCACTAGAGGTGGTCTTAACACTGCAAGGTCAACATTGCAGTTTATAAAAAATAAAAAAAAACTACAATGTTTTATATCGAAAGGTGAAACCTAGAATACCACTTCATTGACTTTAATGGTCCTTTAATGCACCTAGCCTATAGCCCAGGCATAGGCAACCTTTGGCACTCCAGATGTTTTAGACTACACCTCCCATGATGCTTTGCCAGCATTATGGGTGTAAGAGCATTATGGGGGATGTAGTCTACAATATCTAGAGTGCCTAAGGTTGCCTATCCCTGCTATAGCCTATTTCCTATACAGTGAATTGAGAAGCAACACATTTCAAGTCAAAATATCCAAGCCGAGAAATAGAATTAAATGATAATATTTCCAATTTTTCTAGTTGGGACTAATGTTTGGGATTTATTCATTAAGCAGGAAACTGGAGAATTGTCCAAAGAATTGCAAAGGAACCAGAATATAAGTTTGGTCTCCTAGGAGAAAATTTTAATTTACCCATATTTCAATACATTTCATCCCAAAAAGGCAAGGCTTCTGGCAGCAGGAAATATATAGGTCAAGTCACAAAATCATTACCTACATAATTTTGCTCATATCACAAACCAACAAAGATCTGCTTGAAAATAAAAAAAGGCATTGGCAAAGCCTTTACATTCATGACTTTATTTAGTACTTGTCACTACTGACACCAACATCTGCATCATATTTTTTTAAATTATCCTTCATGCTGGGATTATTCTCAACTTGGTCATCTGAAAAGGCACACAGAATTTCAGATCTCTGGGGTTTTGCGA